CGTGCCAATAATAATGATAATTTTTAAAAATAATAAAGCCACAACACGAAGCAAGAACCGAAAGGCGTTTTCCGATTCGGATGTGGACTTCGATACCGATGATGACCTTCCGGTTCACCCCAAGTGGAAATCGAGTCATGTTGCTAATGAAAAACAGCATAGTAGAAATAGAGGGGCTAGAGATTTTGGTTCGGATGATGATTCAGATGAGGAGATTGGGTATAATAGATCGAAAAAGAACGAGAAGAGAGGAGTATCTAAAAGAGGAGGAGGAAGATCCAGTTTTAGAGAAGAGTCTTTCTCTGGAACAGATTCCGATGATGGTGATAGGCAAAGAGGTAATAATGCATATGGGGGACGGGGGCAGGGGCGGGGGCGGGGGCGAGGGAGTGGGGGCCGTGGGGGTGAGAGAATGGATGATCGGAGAAGCTCTATGAATAGAGGATTTGATAGGTCATCTGGAAAGAGAAACAATGGAGATTTTCGAGAGAGTTCATATAATGGCAGAGATGGTAAATTTTCAAAGCCTAGAGGAGGAGATAGAAAACAAGGCAGAGGAGGAGGGTCGTTTGGGAAACGAGGAGGAGGAAGAGGAGGAGGGAGGTCGAACAGATTTGATGATGGAGATAGTTACGAGCATGAAGAGAGTAATTTGAGACCCAGGGCGAATGTGCGATGATTTTTCTAAAAAATACTCATGAAAGTTTTCTAGGTTTTCGAATTTCGAATAATTTACTGTGTTTGTGTAAGGATATAGATACCATCAGAAGGAAGTGCCGGATATTTTCTCGATGAGAACTGGCAAAAATAGTCTGGTTGACAATTTCATTTTTTGGGTCTTTTATGGGTATTTATCTATCTATGGCTGATGAGATCCACTAAGCACACATATATATATGGATGTGTGCGTTATTATGTGTGGATTAATGGTGTAAACCTGCAAAACCCCTATTTATATATATACCTTCTACCTGTGTATATAAGTGTGAATTGTAGAGATGGTTGGTTTCCATTTTATGTATGCACAAAAATGCCCTTCATGCTGGTGGTTCTCCATTTTCTTCTTTCGGATCTTTTGTGGAAGAATGTTTAATTATTTTTCGTTCCTTTACTCCATGTATCTTTTCTTTTATTAGACGGATTGAGAATCTCTTGGCCCATGTCCTTGCATCAATGGATTCATCTTGTAATGAAGGATCTAACCTTCTCCAATCTTTGGCTATTTATACATAATAAAATCTATTTTTTCTTAAAAAAAAAGTTATAATGTTGTTTATTACTCCCTCCTTCCCTTAATATTTGTCACTTTTGCCATTTTTTCATATTTCAAATTATTTGTCATTTTACTATTCCAATGAATAATTAATTGCATTTTTTTTTCAATTTTGCCCTTTCTCATTCAAAATTAATTGAAATATAATTATTTAAAAATTAATTAATGGCATGGGCATTTTAGTGAAAAACGATACTTTTGCTACTATCTATGCATATTTATTGAGTTTCTTAATATGTGTGCAACTAACAAAAGTGACAACTATTGAGGGAAGGAGGGAGTACTACGTATTATATTTTGCATAATAATTTTTGACTCATTGAATCCTTAGAATTGTTTGACCAAAAAAGTGGTAGCCAATTCCGATATAACGTGTGTAGTATTTTAGCATAAGAGCACATTAAATTCATGAATTATTTATTACCTAGTACAAATAGGAGAACTTCTATAACTTCCAATGCTTTGAAACCCAGACCAGACCGGTCGGTTCCACCGGTCAACCGCTAACCGGTGCTTTGTCTGGTCCGATTAACTAGAAAATTATAAAAAGTGGGTTAATTGTTAAAAACCGATTTTTTTGATCGGTCGAAAACTGACCGAAAACCATTTTTTGACTGAACCTATAACTTTTCAATTAATAAAAAAGGGGCCATAATGACGTCGTTCTAATACACAAATTTAAAAAGAGAGAGAGAGACTTCTATTGCGGGCTGCCGCTCTCACTCCAAATCCACCATATCCAGCCGTCGTCCCGAACTTGCAGCTAAACCTTTTCTCTTTAAGATTATAAGTTTATAATTTCATTATTGGAATATTGATCTAATTACACAGAGTTTATTTAGAATTGGTATTTGAAGTACACAAATAGTTACTTGTTTGTTTCGGTTAGTTGGTTCACGTATACATGAGTTAGTTGCTCTAGACTTTATAATTTGTAGTTTTATATGTATTTTTGCATGCACATACAATCAAACATAATGAAAACTAAATACATGATGAAGAGGACACGGAGGCGGAACTACGCGAGTCTAAGAGTTTCCCAATCCGAACGACGGAGGTGACCATAGATTTTGACGTTTCGAGGTCGTTTAGGCCATTAAAACGACGTTTTTGCAGTTTTAGGAAAAATTTAAATAATTTATAATTAATTATACAAAATTTGGTTTTGAAATCCGCAAATTGGGTTGTTTCCTATTTGCAGGATTCTATTAGATTTAGGAGTATTTTATTTTTGCCTTTTTTGTTAAATTTTTCGTTTTCCTAGTTTGATTAGGGTGTTCGGCTTTTATTAGTAGAAATAGTTGCTATAGGACTAATTTTTTAGACCATCATTTATTATCAATAAAATCTGAGATTTCTCTCAATTTTCAGGTGGATTCTAAGGCTTTTTTGTTATGTCGGATTAATTCGTTGTAATTAATTATTTGTTGTGCTTCTGCATCAAGACAATTAATGCTTACTTTGTTCGTTTCTCTTATTTTATTAGAAACTATGGCTGAAAACAATGCAATGTCTCGTGGGACACAAGCTTCAGCACTCCTTCGATTAGACAAAAAAAAGGACCTAGCATGGAAATACGTTACTCAAAGTACAAATGCGAAAATGAAGAAGATATGGATTTGTAGATTTGGTCAAAAGTCATTTGCAAGTGAAGGTATTAATAGGATGAAGCAACACATTTCTGGAACAAAAGGAAGTATGAGTACATACCAAAAAGTTAATTTAGAGGTTCAACTTGAAATCAAAGATTTGTTGGATGCTCATGTGCACTAAAGTAAGGCCAAGAGAGTGATGATTTGAGATCGAGAGGCTTGCGAAGAAGATGCAATTCCTTTTCAAACAGATGTTTCGAATGGAAAAAGAAAACTTCCTATGCTATTAACTCATTTTTGTAAAATAGGTGCAAGTCTTTCTTCCCAACTAGTATTAAAGCATGCATGCGAAATAAAGACAAATGGGAAGATACTGAATTGACCATTGCATTATGGTTTTATAATGCTTGTATTCCATTTAATTCTTGCACTTTACCTTACTTTCAAGCTACTATCAATAAAATAGCTAGCATGAGTTATGTTCTTATCATGCTTTGCGTGTCAATTTATTGGGTGATGCTAAGACACATGTTACGTTGATGATTGACTCTATTATAAATACTTGGGTTGACACTGGTTGTACCATAATGGGGATGGTTGGAGTGGCATTAGACAAAGGAGAATATTGTGGGATTTGGAGGATTTTTGATATTTTGAGAATTTTTATTTCTATATATCTTATTGAGGGACTCTTTGATATAACTCCTCAATACTTCTTTTAATAAGGAGAGACCCAAATTATTTTGCACAATTTGAGAGAATTTATTTCCTAATTTCAGCCACCTATTTTTCTAATTATGGCCCTGCCACCTCATGGACACTATCCCCAATTATGTCCATGCCATCTCATCAGCCGTTTTTTTTTTATATTTTTTTTCTTCATTTTTCAACTTTTTTTCTCTATCAGGTATATTAATCGACTATGAGATATAAGCATAGTCGATTAAGAAACCGAACACTAAAAATAGAGAAAACAAAACTATGTAAAAACTAAAATCGATATTATTTTTACAAAAATAAAAAAATATACAAACATTATAATTGATTTATACAATTGGAATCAATAAACAAAAAATCCAAAAAATAAAATAAAAAATTGGAGTCGATTAACCTTACTCGACCACCAGAGCATAGTCGACTGAACTTAATCGAATATTGAACATGTACGAAGTCGATTAAGGTTCCAGCCTGCGCGAATTTCTCTATCCCCGCCTTCCTTCGCCTTATCTACCAAAAAAACCCCTAAATCTGCCTCTCCACGCCGTCGCAACACCACACCATCTCATAATCCTCGCAACTTCATCCCATTCCAATCCCACACCTTGCGACTTCATCCCACCCACAATCCTTGAACCCAAACAAACCTTTTTTCATTCACCAACTAGATTTAGATTGAAATAAAAAACAGAATATAGATCTAGATTGAAACCAACTAAATCAGAGAAACAAATTTAGAGCTACTCAATAGACATGGTTTTCTGGCGCCGATGACTTGAGACATGGTTTTCACTCTCCACCGCCGCATCTATCGTCTCGGTCTCCGTCGCCACTGCCATCGTCTCCGTCGCTGCCATGGTCTTCACGTCTCCGTTGCTGATGACTTGAGACATGGTCCTCCTCTACTGCTGGTGTTTCTATGAATGAAGAGAATGGAAGAGAGAATGGAAGAGAGAATGAAGAACGATGAATGTGTATCTATGGGCTTTATAAGGGTAGTTTGGGGATTATTAAAAATTAATTTTGTTGGAAATATACCTAAGGGGGTTTTCTCTAATTATTTTTGGGATGGATTGTTTCCTTAATTACATTTCCTAGATGAGGGGGTTCTTGCTAATTTTCCCATCTTATTAAGAGTACTTCTTGCCAAAATAAGAACAATGAACTTAATAAAAAGAAGGGTAAAATTCATTTTGCACCCCTGTACTATGTGAAAGGTATCATTTACCCCCCCTAATGTATAGAAAACATCAAACACCCCCCTATTTTTAACGGTCAATGGTCAAATTTTTAACGGTGTTAAATTTTGAGTGTGCAATGACTCTTTTACCCGGTTTTTATGTTTGATATAATTCCTAATTTTTTCTAGGTATATTTTTTGTGGATTGTTGACGATTTCTAGCGTTCGTTCAAATTGGGGTTTTTTGTCGATTTTAGAATTTGATTTTATTTTTGGTTTTCTTTTTCGAGGATTTTTCCATCATAATATGAAAAGCTTTGTTTTTAATTTGCAATTCTTTAATATGGTTTTATTCCAATTTTAGGGTTTCTTTTAGATTTCAGGACTTTTAGTTTTCCTTTTTGTGGGTTTTACATTCATAATCTACAAAGCTTCATTCTTATTTATTCGACTATTCAGCTTTTTTATAAGAAAAATGGCTGAAAATGTTAAAAAAATGATTGAATAAATTGAAAAAATAGGGATGAAAAATGTGAAAAATCCGGTGAATATTTGTCAAAACGAAGCATCCTATATATATAATTTTTTTGGGGTATTTTTGTTAATAAAAAAAAAAGCCAACATTTCTTTTCAATAGTCGGTCAAAGGGTTTGACTAACGGAATTAGAAAAAAAAACTAACGGCGGGGGGTGTTTGATGTTTTCTATACTTCAGGGGGGTAAATGATACATTTCGCATAGTGCAGGGGTGAAAAATGAATTTTACCCTAAAAAGAATGAGAAAGTTGGCTAGACACCTCTTATTTTGGACATATATAAGTAGATATCTATTCTATTAGATAAATATATGTATAAGTCCATTATTTAAATAATAATATGAATGAAAGAAAATTATTAATGTACACACATAAATACTCTCAATAATATTTATATGAAAATAGTTATTTATTTAAATAAGGAAACAAATCCAATATATCACTCTAACTATTCCACATCTGTATCTCTCTTTCTTTCACACACACACACACTCATCTTTCTCTCACCCAAGATATCTTTACACACTCTCTCTCTCTCTCTCTCTCTCTCTTGTTGTATTTATTTATAGTTGAATTATAATTTTTATTTGCATTTTCTAATGAGAACATTATAAATAAGCCCATTTCCAGATAAAAAACACTTTTACAAAAAAGTCTAAATATTATCTAGAGGTGTGTAAAAGACTAAAATACCCTATGACATTTTAATATGCTCCAATTTCATCCTTTAATTCAATTTAACCTAAATTTGGTACCAAATTTCACGAATTATTGAATTGTGAGCCAAAATTCAATTTTTAGTACAATTTCGCCCGTCGCCGCCGTTGACTGCCGATCTCCGGCATTGATTTTTTTCTCTTTCTTTTCTGCCGGTTTCCGGCGTTGTTTTTTTCGATTTTTTTTCTTCTTTCGGCGGTCAATGCCGGTCTCCTGCGGCATTGACCTTTTTTTTTCGTTAACATCTTTTTGCCTGTTTAAAAAGTAATATTGTTGTGGTTGACCGTCATATTAACTATACCACTGTTTAACACAATAATATTGCTATAATATTAGCACACTATAATATTAACACAACAAAAATCACTATTATCGTGTAATAGAGTAATATTAATATGTTGACCGTTTAACAAAGGCAAACCTAATAAAAAGCCAAAATAATTAATATTGATGTGGTTGACAGTAAAATTACTGTTATCCACAGTAATATTACTGTAACGACAGTTATACCACCGTCCACCACAGTAATATTATTGTATTTATAGTAATATTACAATAGTAGACAGTAACATTATCAATGTTCTAAAAGTTGGGCAAGGCGGTCGATTAATCGGTCTACGTGGCGGAAGCGGTCTAAAACCTTTACGATTTTAGTATAAAATATTTGAAAAATCAGTTTTTGTCTCTGAGACGGTCAAACCTTAGGAGGCGGGTCAAACTGTGGTGGCAAAAATTATATTTTCTTTTTGGTTTTATTAAATAAAAATAAGTTGGGATTTTAATTAGAAATGAGTTTATACTTTGTTTTCTTTGTTAATGTTATTTTTTATTTTTAACGGACCTAATAATACATGCTTGTAATGTTTAAATATAATTTTACAAGATTTTCGTTTTATTTTTATTTTGTACAGGTTTGTATTATATAATGATCTAATTATTATTATTATTCGATTATGATGTATAAATGATGGGGTAAAATCATGTTTAATATATTTATATATTTTAAGTATTTATAAATAATATCTAAAATTATATTAAAAAAACTAAATTTATTCTAATTTATCGTCGATTAATCACAGCCACACCAATTAATCGAGGGGGCGGTGCCTAACCGAGTTGGGTCCGATTCCCAACTTTTACAACCTTGGGTATAATTGAGGGGTTTAAACAAATTCAAAATAAAATTGGTTGGAGGGTCCTTTATTTTTACCCATTTTCTTAACACTTGAAACTAGCTAAAGAAAAAAAACCCCGGTTGCTTATTTTCAAGAGAAGGAAGGGAGGGGGTTTGATAAATCTCCGTTGCCGCTCCCATGGCATACTTACTCACCGTCACCTCGCTCTCGCCCTTCTGCTACCGCCTACACCAATTGCTGGTAACCGCACTATTTTCTGAACTCTCTCTCTCTCTCTCTTTTTTTTTTTTTTTTTTTTTTTTTCTTGCCTCTGAATAAAAATGAAGTGTTCAATAACAATACAATAATTGGAAAGGGAATGAGAAAAATATTCTTCTAGTTTGAATATCTTGCTTCTTCTGTTTATAATTTGGGCATTGTTGATTTATTATAATAATGCACAAACTATTTGGGGGCAAATATTGGCTAGGTCATGCTTCTTTGGGTAAAAATTGCTCTCATATGTGTGTAGAATTTTTCGAACCCTTGTAAATTTCTAATTTTCGCACTTTATTCCTTATATTTTTTTAAAGTGAATGTCCCCCTTCAAAATATTATTCTTGTTGCACCTTGCCCAGATAGGAAAACTCCGATGGATTATCCATCGGAATTGAGTATTTTTGTTGCACGTTGCCCCTTAAAACACTATTTTTTTGCACGTTGCCCCTTTAAAGTGTTATTTTTGTTGCACAATGCCCTTAAAATATTGACTTCTGGGGCAAAGTGCAACCAAAATAATATTTCGAAGGTGGAGTATCCTTTTTTGAATTTTTAGGGGGAAAACTGCGAAAATGGGAAATTTATAGGGGGTGAAGTACATTTTGTCCTTGTTTGTTTTAATCTCAAATGTGAATGACGAAATAATAGCAATGTATTTAGTATTCTTTGCTCGTCTAATTTGTGTTTTTAGTCTAATTTGATTTTGGTAGCCTATGGAGAAAGATTAATTCTCTCATCTACGAAAATTAGTTTGTGAACTTCGTTTTATTTTTGGTTTGTACTAATGTTTAATTTCATTGTGCTCCTTGTAACCTGTGAAAGTTGTAAAGGTTTCTTAGGGCATCACTTTTACAGCAAGATGTCTTTATCCGGTTCCTCACGGTTCAAATATATTCGTACATTGTCACTTTCTCCCAATCCTTATTAGTCGAAACACCAACTCTTACGGTCTCCTCTTAGCTATTGCTACTTCATTATTTTACCGAAATATCAAATACATTATTGCATTGTTAAAGATTAGGCACACTAGGTGTTGGTTGAATGAAATCCGTGTATATAGATAGTTAACTCAGTAATACAGGAAAAAAAATATTCTTCGTGTTCTATTTCCTTTGATTCTTTGTAGCGAAGTTAGAATTACAATTTATGTAGTTTTCGCTTTGGTTCGTCTAATTTTATATATTGGAAAGCAAAGCTGAATTTCATTCTTCTTACTACTAGAGCATCATGTGTAATCGGAAATATACAGAGATATTTCTTTTATTCGGTTTATTTTGATTCTTTACATCATCTTTTGGTCAAAAGCAGATTAAAATTTCGACATGTTCGAGGGGGGTATGCTAACTTTATACTGGTTCAACTTAATCTATATTTAGTTCTTTTTTCGTTATCATCAAAACTTACAGATCAAGTTATCGATTATTCAATATGTGATTTTTTATGTACATAGTAATCCCAAAATTGAGATATAATACTTGATTAGGTCGGCATATTTCACCACTCATAATTTTATGGTACTTGATGTAGGGAACTCATTCAAGAAGATCAACTCGTACAAGCCTTGTAAATCCCGTAACCAACAGAACAGGTTCTTTTTTCGTTTTACTTGACGATACTTTAGTTTACGCAGAAAATATTGTCGCCTTTGTCCTATGCGTGTTATTTTCTAAGGTTTGTATAATACTGAATACTACATCGATCTATAATAAGGCATTATGTCACTATACTATATAGTATGCAGTTCATAACCGACTACCCGAGCAAAGAACTCTAAAACTCTTCATTACGTGTGAGAAATAAAAGGTACCTCAAATTTTTTTTATCTGTTAAAATATTTGCTTATGATTCTAATTTCCCCGAGAAAAAAAATAAAAAAATCCCCTATCTTTCAATGTAGTAGTTAACCATTTTTCAGTTGTCCAATTCAAAATGGGATCTTCAGATTGTAACCGAGTGAGTATAAGTGATTCATGTAAGCCTTAATATTAATTAGTGCAGATATATATAAAAAAAAAATTCAAATAAAACCTGTCTCGACTTACGGAAGTGATTTTTGGAAGCACTTGAAATAGTTTTTAGGACTCATTTGCCCCTTCGAAATTGGAAATAAGTGGTGCAAAGGCTATGGGGGAAAATGAAAAAGGGAAAATTAATAGATATATATGTGTTTGAACGATTTGAATTTGCAGGTAAACGGCCTATGTTGCGCAACTATAGTGGCGGAGGGATGATTTCTTCGAATAAAAGCTGCGATTTGAGTATTTACGCTCCCGCAAAACAAGGTCTTGAGTGTATTGTATTTTGTCGTAGTGACCAAGTACTAATTTCAGGATTTTGGATAGGGCCAGATATAGAAGATGGATGGGGTTTTGTAGAAGCATCTTTATGTCGAATATATTGATCCTCGTAATTTTTTTTTTTCACCTATTCGATTATTTTAACCGTGGTATAGTGCAATTATAAATGGTGCATGAGGCACTTTCAACTGAAGTAAATGTGACGTACTTTCAACATAAGTAATGGCTTATTGTTTTGCTGCTAATTGGTGCGGTTTTTTGGAAACACATAAATATCGGTCAATTGAAGAACTAAGAAATCCCCGGTTGAACCATCAGACCAGAGTGCTTCAAAAACTGGTTCAAATTTAAGATAATTGATCGGAATATGGTTCGAAGTGTGATTTGTACACCATTTTCCCAAGGGGCTTGATATCGAGTATTTTTTCTAAGTAGCACGGATTTTTCCAATATAATTTTAAAAACATTTACGTCTGAACAGATTCTCTCCTTCTGGATTTTTAAAATTTTACAAATTGTTCATTTTTTTCAATAATATCAACTACGAAGCAACAATTATCCAAGTAGTTTTTTTTTTTTTTTTTTTTTTCTTTCTTGTGAAACAACAAAGTGATGAATGAGGTTCATTTGGAGAGGTTCGAATTAGAGGATTGTAGCCATTTCTTCGATGTTACGAGTGTGTTGTAGTAGAAATGAATTAGTTGGGTGGACGAGAAACATTGTCATTAGTCATGGTCAACGTTTGATACGTCGGTCTAGAAACGATGATTTACAATATTTGACGGCGATAGCTATAGGTCTTAACGAAAAAAAGAATATTGACGTGGAGAAGTCCTCGAAATACTGGGACAATGAAATGTAAGTGTCCTTTCGCGTTATATAGTAAGCAGAATCGACATGATGAATTATGGCGGGTGAAGATGAAAATGGCAATCATAGTCCTACATTATTTCCTCTCATTTTTTACTCAAGAGCAGTACGAAGTAATGGAAGTACTGACAAAAAGTCGCGTGAAGCTGCATAAATGATCATTTAAGAAGTGAGAATCCGGAGACTACGACGTCCATATGAGATGTAATACATAAACGCAACAAAAATGTTGTGTTGGGAGGACGGTTGTAAAACTGATGCATAACTTCAAACAAAATGAATATCGGCGCTAACATCGAGAAATAAAGTGGGAGACACACTGATCGATTTTATGTTTATGTTTGTGCACTCTGGTTCATTTAAGCCTTTTGCGTTTATTTTCCCACATTATATTAATAGATTGCACTTAAAAAACCAACATGGAATAATTATTTAGTTAACTGACATATTGTAATTTGTTTCATAGCTGATAATTGGTAATTTTGTCTGATTCAGGTATTAAATTCCTCTAATGAAAATAATTGTAATTACTCCTGTTAGAAAGAGCTTTACGATTGTTGCTTCTGTCACGTTGCATGAAACCAAGAACACATATGCATGGGTTTTGACATGTCTGAGATAAATATTCGATGGTGTAGAACCGATTGATGGTTTTCAATAGATCGGTAGTTCGGTCTCATAAAACCACTGCATTGTGTGTTCCACAGGCGTATCGTAATATTGAGGCAAATGCGATGAAGTTTATGGGAGGCAACAAGAAGCACAATACATTCTCCCGAAGGATAAAATGAGAGGATCTAATGAATTGGAAGACCGTTGTGGACTAATAATGAAGCGTGATTGATTTACAAGGAGAAATAATCTGTAGGACAAGTTCCGTAACATGACGACTAACATGTACACCTTAGTTCAACTATGTGTATGATCAACTTCTGTAATATTTGGTTTCTGACTACATCTTGATTGTTGATGTATTGTAATAGGGTGAAGAGTACGTATGCACTGTCGGAAGGTTGGTTCGGTTCTTTAACTAATTAAGATAAAATCAGATCATATCCTTATTTTCAACGTTTGATGTAGTGCGCATGTCCACGATGCGGAGTCCTGATAGTTACGTTGTACCCACTATCTTAGGCGTATAGGTGGACTCCTTTATGCATGTGAAATTGCACAAAATATTTGAGACGTAGATACTTATACTGCCATAGACGACGTTCATTGATTATGGAGTACCATGAATGTTAAAGAATCAGAACGACCAAAATCACAACCTAACCGTAACAAATTAGTTAAAAAGCAATTCCGGTATGCGAAAAAATGAAAAGTTTGTTGAATACATACGTATACCCCTTCATCCCGACACAAGCCACTTGGAAGAGCAATCATTATTTAATCCCAATGGATAACCTGAGAATATATAATCCGAAAGAGAGAACTCTTGGGATATGAGTATGTCATTGGAAAATTCAAACATGTGCAAAGCGCGTGCAAATTTTTAATAAGTATAAATAGGAATATTGAAACATATTAATTAGGGGCATTGAAATTGAAGATTCTGTTGAACCTGGAGTACCAAGAGTGTTTCTTGTACTTATGCTTTGATAGATGCAATTATAATTAATTACTCATCGATCACTTCTTTTTTGGAGTTGTGATGATTTGACTAGTGATAATCTTTAACATAATATATAGAGGTTACACCAATATTCATATGATCATATATTCAAGTGCATTTTGGACTATTTGAAAATAGAAGATTACAACAAAATTTTGATATAATAAAATACGTGCGGATGGACATGGAAAGATTAGTGATAATCTTTATATAATCTCTATAGTAAAAAACGAGCATCGCAACCGGCAATTTGTTATCCCAGCTGAACACCCTCAGGTCCGAGATCCTTTGGAATGCCTTCACACTCTCCACCAGCCTCTCGTTGGTAGCACAATGAGTTAATTGCAAATACCACCCCTGTGTAATCTCTAATTGCCAAATACCCCCTTAAAAAAAATAGTAGCTTATGCTCCCATGTGTTAATATTTTCGAAGCACACTGCACCTTTTTTTTAATTTTAGGCTTTGAATAAAGTTAAAAATACTGAAATGTCCTTGGGTTTTTTCAGCAACTAGTACATGATAATTAATTTTAATTACTCCAAATTTATATTATAATAATTGGCGGAGACATCTCCAGTGAGGTAGGGGAAAAAAAAGTCAACGCCGGAGACCGGCGGCGGAAAAAACAAACCAGAAAAAAAAAGTCAACGCCGGAAACCGGCGGCAAAAATTTAATTTCAAAAGAAAAGAAAATTAAAAAAAAAGGTCAAAATTGAATTTTTATTGGTCAAAATTAAAAAAAAAAGTCAAAATTAAAAAAAAAAGTCAACAGGGGACTTAAATGTATATTGGTCCATGTAAAAAACAGTATTTCAAATAAACCCATTATCATGTCTTTAGATAAAAATACTCTCCATAATATATTTTTGGGTAAATTACACACACCCCCCTGAGGTAAGCTTAAATAACTGTAAGGTCCCTGTGGTATCAATAATTACACTCAGCCCCCTGAAACATAGTCAGAAACTCTAATGGGATAATGAATTGGATACGTTATTCCGATAGGGTTCTAACGGACTATTGGTTTCAGAAAGTGGTGAAGACAACAAAGAGCTATGGGTGATTTAAGAAATGTTCGGGAATGTTCGGGGAGCCATGTCACCACATAGCTCTTTGTTGTCTTCACTACTTTCTGAAACCAATAGTCCGTTAGAACCCTATCGGAATAACGTATCCAATTCATTATCCCATTACAGTTTCTTACTACGTTTCAGGGGGCTAAGTGTAATTATTGATACCACAGGGACCTTACAGTTATTTAAGCTTACCTCAGGGGTGTGTGTGTAATTTACCCTATATTTTTTATCAATTCCATCCATTATACTCTAACTTCATCAATATTACACATTGACCCCGGATTTAAATAAATATATCACATTAATACCCATTTAATAATTTTTTTCTGAATTTTTTTAGGCCAGATTCGAGTGTTGACTTTTTTTTAAAGTTTTTTTTTCCTATTTTTTTTCTAGTCAGTCAACCGCTGTTGACCACCGGTCTCTGGCGTTGACTTTTTTTTTTTTTTTGATTTTTTTCCTTTTTTATTAATTTTTTTTTATTTTAATTAATATTACTATCTTGGCTACTAATTTACTGTCTCAGACAGTAATATTACTGTTTGGGACAATGATATTATGAATATTACTTTTCCGAACAGTAATATTACTAATATTACTGTCCCAAACAGTAATATTATTGCATGAGACAGTAATATTACGGTTGGAGACAATAATATTACGGCCGAGCACAACAAAATTGCAAGCCAAGACGATAAAATTAATTAATACAATAAAATTACTGTCTCATATAATTAAATTACTGTTTCAGACAGTTAAATTACTGTTGAAGATAGTAATTTAGTAGCAAAGACAATAATATTAATTAAAATATTTTTTTTAAGAAAAACCAAAATTTCAAAAAAAAAAAGTCAATTAACAGTTAAATTACTGTCTCCGACAGTTAAATTACTGTTGGAGGCAGTAATTTAGCAGCCAAGATAGTAATATTAATTAAAATATTTTTGCAAGAAAAAAATTCAATGAAAAGTCACGTTACTCTCTCCGACATGTAAATTACTGCTGGAGACAGTAATTTAGCAGCCAAGACAGTAATATTAATTAAAATAATGTTTTTTAAGAAAAAAAGTCAATTATCAGTTAAATTACTCTCTCCGATACTTAAATTACTGCAAGAGATAGTAATTTAGCAGCCAAGACATTAATATTAATTAAAATATCTAAGAAAAAAATAAATAAAGTCAATGCCAGAGACTCAACGGTTAACGGCGGTTGACTTACCGAAAAAAGAGTTTTCAAAAAAAAAAAAAAAAAAGTCAACGCCGGAGACCAGCGGTGTCTCGCGGCTGACCGACGATCTCCGGGCGTGGCGGGTCAAAATTGGAATTATGGTCAAAATTTGTTAATTGGTGAAACTGGTCTAAATTGAGGTGTGAATCATGAATTTGGAGTTGAATTGGGTTTCAAGAAATTAGGGGTAATTTCGGTATATATAAAAATATTTTCCTTATTTGCAAATAAGTTTTAATTAGCTAGAAATATTTGAAAGACAAAAAATTTGGATGTCCCTTTTTTAATTAAGTGTCATTGGCATGGGCATCTTTGCCATGAACCCTATATGGAATATATAAAGAAATTTAGAAAATTATTAGATAATGTTTGTATTTGTTATTTTCGGCGATCAGATGTCGTTTATGCCCTCAAAACGACGTTTTTGCTATTTAGAAAATATTTAAATAATT